AATCTTGATGGTTTGAATAGAAAAATCACTACTTCATTTTTTAGTCCATGTCCACTGATTTCACTGATTCGATCCACTGTGCGACGTCCCACAGGACTGGTCCTAGGGCCGAGCCCTGCGGGACGCCGCACCCCACGTTCCAACTCCTAGAGTCCGCCTCCCTATCCAGGCATGTGATCCTCCTACCCGAAAGGTAATCGCGGATCAACCTTCTCAGGTAGGCCGGAACCTCGAGGCTCTCCAGAGCCCTCTTAATCGCCCCATGGGGGAGGGAGTTAAAAGCGTTCGAGATGTCGATCGCTACTGCCAACACTACTCCCCCCCCCCTCGATGACGGCGTCCACATGCGCCTTGACGCAGCCAATGGCGTCCACCGTAGATCTTCCCGGGCGGAAGCCAAACTGCCTTGGGTGGAGCCCTCTCCCCACTCCGCCCTCTAAGCCCCGGACGAGGCGGGTAGTGACGACTCTCTCGAGTAGTTTCCCCGCCTCATCCAGGAGGCAAATCGGCCTGTAGCTTGAAGGCTCCCCCCCAGGCTTACCCGGCTTGGGGATGAGCACCAGGCGTGCCTCCTTCCAGATGCTGGGGAACCTGCCTTCCCTCAGGCTCGCGGTCATCAACTCCAGCATGGCCTCCCTCAGCTGGGGGATTGCCACCTTCAACGCGATCCCCGGGATACCGTCGGGCCCTGGGGACTTCCCCGTCTTCAGTCTCCTAGCTGCGTTGTCCAGCTCCAGGTCCGTAACTGCAAGGCCGTCATCCCACTGCACATGCTCCTCGTCGGTTGCGTGCTCCTCCTCTGGGCCATTCCTGCTTCCGTCAGGGAATAGCGTGGCGACCACTGTGCCCAAGAGGTCTGGGCACATACCCTCCAGCGTGGGGGGCGCCCCCTTGTTCAGTCTGTCCATGACTAATTTATAGGGACGCCCCCACGGGTCCTCGTCAAGAGTCGCGATGAGGTCCTCCCACGCCTTATCTTTGGCGTGCCTAATCGCCACCTTCAGAGCGTGCCTCTTCGATCTGGACTCCTCCAGCAAGCCAAGTCGATCTCCCCTTGTCCGGCGGCTCTCCTTCTGGCTCTCTGCACCTTACGCCTCGCTTGGACTGCTTCTCTTCGGAGCACAGCGATGTCCTCGCTCCACCAGTACGCCGCTTTACGCGGCGTAAAGGTGGACCTGGGATGCTGTTATCGCACGCCCGCTCCATCACCTCCCGGAGCCACTTCGCCTGCTCTTCTATCCCTCTTTCTTGGGGGCTTGGCAGCCATGTATCCGCAGCCAAGGAGGCTACTAGCCTATCCGGATCAAATTTGGACACGGTCCATCTTTTCGGGCGGACTTCCGGGCCGTCTCTGCCTCGCAGCTGTAGACCTATCTCCACTTCGATCGGGAGGTGATCAGAGAGGATATCTGTTTCTTCGATCACTCTCCATGAGATGACGTTACCCGCCACCGCAGGGGAAGCCCATGTCAGATCGACAATAGACTCCCCCTGCGGCCTTACACAGGTGCTCATTGCACCTCGGTTCAGTAGGTGTAGACCCAGGCGCGCCGCCCAATTCAACACCTCTAAACCCTTCGCGTCTGGCCGCCGGGAACCCCATAATGCTCCCTTAGCATTAAAGTCCCCGGCGACCAGGACGGGTCCGGGGAGTATACCTCTCATGGCTTCCTCGAGATCTTCAAGCCGGGTCTCAAGCTGCGCACGGGTCAGGCTGGGGGGCAGGTAGACCCCGATGACGTGTATCGAGCCCCACTCTACCACAACCCAGCCCTCT